AACACAATAATACATCAGACAACACAACAGATAACACAACAACAAAGACAACAAAGCAACAGTTCAGCAAGAATCACCACAACACAGCAGGCAACAAAGCAATAACATAGTTGGAGACACAGTAACACTGATAACAAAGCAGACAACACATACAAAAACAGGTATCACTAAATACAGCGCAAAAACACACAGCAATTAACAGTAGTTAACACTGCAGGCAAAACAACAGCACAACAGACAACACAGCGCATAACGCAACAAACAACACAATAACATAGTAAGCAACACATCAGACTGCATAAAAAGACATCAGGTAACACAATAGACAATACAGGAACACAACAGATAACACAGCAGAAACTACATCAACATGACAGGTAACGCAACAGGCAACACAATAACATAGTAACATAAGAGTGAACACAAAAAACAAACACTTAACAAAGTAAGCAACACAAAATCACAGTAAATAACACGGACAACACAAGCAGAGGACACACCAACACAGCAGATTACTCGACAGACAACACAGCAGGTAACCCGACAGACAACACAATAACACGGCAGACAACACAATAACACGGCAGACAACACAATAACACGGCAGACAACACAATAAGACATTACATAGCATAGCCAAAAATATACCAGATAACGTAACAAGTAACACAAAAGGTATGCAGTAACATGACAGACAGAGTAGCAAGTAAAACAAAAAGTAACACGGCAAGTAACGTATCAGGTAACACAGTTACACAACTGATAAGACAGCAAGTAACACAAGAAGTAACGCAAGGGGTACCTATTTTAATACCTGTGTCATTAGAGGTTTCAATACAGGTATCAGAGTAGGTAACACAAATGGTAACACAACAAGAAATGGAAGTTAACACAACAGGTAACACAAGAATTAACACAACAGGTAACAGAAAACGCAACACAACATATAGCACAGCAGATAAGACAACACAACGTCACAGTAGGTAACACAGCAAGTAAGAATAACACAACTGGTAGGACAACAGGAAAGGCAACACCATAACACAACAGGTAAGGCAACACAATAACACAACAAGTAACACTGCAGGTACCACAAGCGGAAGGACAACACAATAACTTAGGTGAGACAACACAACGTAACAGTAGGTAACGCAACAGGTAAAACGACAGGTAACAGTAACACAACAGGTAAGACAACAGGTAACAATCACATAACGGGAAAGACAACAGGCAATGCAACACAATAACCCGACAGGTAACACACAGGAGTCACCACAAGAAGAAAGACAACACAATAACACAGCAGTTAACATATCACGAAGCACAATAACACAGCAGTTAACATATCAGGAAGCACAATAACACAGCAGTTAACATATCAGGAAGCACAATAACACAGCAGTTAACATATCAGGAAGCACAATAACACAGCAGTTAACATATCAGGAAGCACAATAACACAGCAGTTAACATATCAGGAAGCACAATAACACAGCAGTTAACATATCAGGAAGCACAATAACACAGAAGGAAGTACAACAAGAAGTACGATAACACAGCAGGAAACACAATAACACTGTAAGCAACACAGCAGGCAGCACAACACCCCCGCAGGAAACACAGCAGGTACTCACGCAACACGTGCAGGGTGAGCGAGGTGTGAACAGGAGGAGCCAGACCGTTGTCAGCCTCACACAGGAACTTCTTACCGTTGTCTCCCGCCGTTGTCCTCATTTGCAGTTCCGACCTGCAGAGGCAAGAAGCAGGTACCTGAGCTCTTAGTACCACCAAGTAACTAATTCTTTATTTCCCTAGAAAACATTTTATAAGAATATGAAAAACCGATACTAAACACAAGACCATTTGACGGTTCATTACTAAGATATTCATTATAATGTGCTATCTATTCAGCTATTGTTATAATTAATTTTATTATTTTTATTATCATTTCTATTATCATTAGTAATAATAATAATTATATTATTATTTTTTATTAACACATCGGCCGTTTCCCACAATGGAAGGGTGACCCCCCCCCAAAAAAAAAGACAAACTTTCATCATCATTCACTCCATCACTGTCTTGGCAGAGGCGCACTTACACTACAGTTATAAAACTGCAACATTAACGCCCCTCCTTCAGAGTGCAGACACTGTACTTCCCATCACCATGACTCAGGTCAGGCCTGCCGGTTTCCCTGAATCCTTTCATAAGTGTTACCTTACACTCCAACAGCACGTCAAGTACTAAAAACCATTTGTCTCCATTCGCTACTATCTAACACGCTCACGCATGCTTACTGGAAGTCCAAGCCCCTCTCACACAAAACCTCCTTTACCCCCTCTCTCTAACTTTTCCTAGGCAGATTCCTATCCCGCCTTCCCTCCACTACAGATGTATACGCTGTCGAAGTCATTCTATTTTGTTTCCTCCTCTCTACATATCCGAATCATCCCAGCAACCCCTCCTCAGCCCTCAGGATAATAGTTTTGGTAATCCCGCACCTCCTCCTAATCTCCAAACTACGAATTCTCTGCAACCACACATTGCCCTTAGACATGACATCTCTACTGCCTCCAGCCTTCTCCTTGTTGCAACATTCATCACCCATACTTCACACTCATATAAGAGCGTTGGTACAACTATACTCTCATACATTCCACTCTTTGCTTCCTTGAATAAAGTTCTTTGTCTCCACAGACTCCTCAGTGCACCACTCATCTTTTTTCCCCCTCTCAATTCTATGATTCACCTCATCTTTCATAGACCCATCTGCTGACACGTTCACTCCCAAATATCTGAATTCATTCAACTCCTCCATACTCTTTCCCTCCAATCTGAAATCCAATCTATCGTTACCTAATTTTTTTTGTTATCCTCATGACCTATTATTAATATTAGTAATAATACTACTATTATTATTCCTTATGAACCTTGTGGGTTTAGCGATTAGTTATGATTAAAATTAGTATTAGTATTATTATTTTTATTATTACCTTCACAATATTGTAGGAAAGGTATACTGTATTACAGAATAAGTTTTAATTGGGAAGGCACTCTGTATGGAGATTAATCAAGAATGGAACGATAAAGCTCCACACCGTGTTATTCACACTACATTTTTTCCTCACTACCTAGTGCAATAACATCACCCGCTCTCACGACCCTAATCCAGTGGTTTATCTATTTAAAATAAAAAGCTGGAGTGAAATATGAATGTAGAAATCTGGTAGGGCTAACTTAGGGAAGGAAAAGGCCCTTGGGGTGAGTATAATACCGAGCACAACTGAGGCGCACATCAACTAGGTAACTTCTGCAAACCTGAGAATAGCGTTCTGATACCTCAGTAAGGAATCGTTCAAGACTCTTTACACAGTGTACATCAGGCCCATATTGCAGTATGCAGCACCAGTTTGGAACCCACAACAGGTCAAGCACGTCAAGAAATTAGAGAAAGTGCAAAGGTTTGCAATAAGACTAGTCCCAGAGCTAAGGGGAATGTCCTACGAAGAAAGGTTAAGGGAAATCGGCCTGACGACACAGGAGGATAGGAGGCTTAGAGGAGAAATGAAACGACATATAAAATACTGCGAGGGATTGAGAAGGTGGATAGAGACAGGGTGTTCCGAAGATGGGACACAGAAACAAGGAGTCACAATTGGCAGTTGAAGACTCCGATGAGTCAAAGAGATGTTAGGAAGTATTTCTTCAGTCATAGAGTTGTCAGGAAGTGGGATAGTCTGGGAAGTGACGTAGTGGAGGCAGGAACCATACATAGCTTTAAGACAAGGTTTGATAAAGCATATGGGGCATGGAGAGAGAAGACCAAGTAACGATCAATGAAGAGGGTGGGCCAGGAGTTATGACTCGACCCCTGCAACCACAAATAGGTGAGTACACACACAAACACACACACGAAGCCTGACCCTGTCAGCTAGAGATACTACTGGATGTGCTTACTCCAGTGCTGCTCGTCGAGGCTAGCATTAACGGCGAGATGCCTGGGTTCGAATCTCGGCGTAGTACAAGCAAAATCATCACTGTGAAAAAATAGTGAATATCCAAGCTTTCGTGATTTTTCACATTATCAAGGAAGTGTACAAATAATATGTATAATGTTCACCAAGACTATTGTCCTGGAAAGTGTCCTAATCTTGCGATGACCCATCTTGTAAATAATAGGTTAGCAGAAGGCTTATAAGGCTGAGATGTCACCTCACATATGACCTTACACCTGACTCAGCATGCTGAGCGTGGCTGGCTAGCCAGCCAGCCAGCCAGCCAGCCAGCCAGCCAGCCAGCCAGCCAGCCAGCCGGCCAGCCAGCCAACCAGCCAGCACTCAACAAATTTCTCTGGAACACTACAGCAATAAGCGCTGTCGAATACTGAAACACCACAACTATAAATAATTTATATTGAATGTTGTTCCAATAGCTTTATGAGTACTACAGAGAATATGTTGTTCCACTGCAGAGTGTTCTCCACGACCACAATATGTTGTTCCACTACAGAGTGTTCTCCACGACCACAATATGTTGTTCCACTACAGAGTGTTCTCCACGACCACAATATGTTGTTCCACTACAGAGTGTTCTCCACGACCACAATATGTTGTTCCACTACAGAGTGTTCTCTACGACCACAATATGTTGTTCCACTACAGAGTGTTCTCCACGACCACAATACACTACTCGAAGCAGTGTTCTGGGACACCACCGAGAAAAAAAATCCTCACATTAAACTGGACCACAACTTTGACAAACACTGCACGCAGTGTCATTAACCAATTATTATGGAATGCATTTTACACCACACTTTGCTTATTAGCAACGGTGTGAAACGTTTTGGAGAGGAAACTTAGATAACATTTCGGCCTGTTCTAGACCATTATGAAAACGGGATGAAACGTCCTTTAAAATTTACTTTACTGAGTGCTCATACCATCATCATCAGGAACTGTTCCTATTCATTCAGACATGATCACTAGGCACTGACTTACGCATGTTGTTTATCTGGCTTTAACGATTTACGGTAGAAGCTCTTGAGATCGTCTTTCACCTTTAAGATGATTTACTTTAATTTAAATTATCTCAATATTTCTAAGCTGTGTATTGTTTCTGTTTGAAAGTCTCCAAATGTTCTCTATTTCAGGCACAGTATAATGGCAGTTATTCTGTACAGTGTGTTTGTTCAACACCATTACGTAAATCATGCGAAGAGTACTGTTGACAATAACAGTAAGCACTTTATACGCTGATACCCAACCCAGGTAAACACATCACACAGTATCCCGACCTATATGTGAGAGGTAATCCACACAGCGTGCTGATCCAAATGTATGACAACCACTCCACATAATGCGCTGAGCCCTCACCAGTAATTGGTTCTCACCCTCGCGGTGTGAAGACCAATTACTGTGGCTAATCCTTCAAAGTACGCTAGTTCACTTAAGTGGCAAACACTCCACACAGTGTGCTTTTTCAACTCTACAGAAAGTACCTCACACCGAGTGTTAACATCAATGACACATTGTTCTGGTCTTTACCCATAATAAACATTCTATATCATATATTCGTCCACCGGTATGGTACTCCGTAGATTATTTTACAGAATATAACATGCAATCAAGTCACTCAATAGAGGGGAATGAAAATTTTATGAAGCATAAGGTAACTAAGTCGAAAGATCATACGCTTAAGGAAGGCAATAGTGTTATCATATCAGCTAGAAAAAATGAGACTTGTAACTGGTGACACAGCTTGATATACGCTACTCAGTGAACTGATCCTGTTCCAGGATAAACCCTTCACAGAGTGCCACTTTGACAAATCAGTAGTGAGAGGGATTGTCCACTGCCGTTACTAACATTCCACACAGTGGGCTAGTTCAAGAGAGAAACAAGCGCTATAGAGAGTGCTGTCAACCATAATAATAATCATTCTCTATAAAGGGGCAGTTATTCCATAATGTCGAACACTCCTTACAGTGCTCTCATCTAGCACGGTGACCAGTAATGTACATAATGTGTCTGAACATCACACACAAGCTACCTACCTGGTCGAGGTGCCACCGAAGGCAGCCTGAGTGGTAGTGATGGTGGCACTATCTATGGTGATGCCGTCAGATGTCCAGGTGATGTTGGAGGACGGAATACTGGAGGAAGACTCACACGAGAGTCTCACTATTGCTCCCTCCTCCACTGTGGCTGGCAGTACCAAGCCTGTCACTTCCCACGGTGCAACTGTACGAGAGTAAAGACCAGGTCAGTGTGCGTCTGTATGTGTAACTAAGTTTGTGGCAAAATAACTAGTCAGTATGACGGACTGGCGGATACACGGAAATATATACAAAGAGAAAATCAGATAGAAGATAACCAGAGATGGATGTTTTAAAGATAATCTTTAAACATGATAATACTGAAAAGAAGTTGAAAACTGGGATCAGATCCGGCAGAATCTTCGGACCAAGTTGGTATGCAATATGCAGAGAGGCAGTAAACGAGAGGAAAAAAGTTGGATGGGCTCATTTCTAAGTTTTGCTAGTGAATGCCAACTTGAAAATTCCTCTAAAATGGTTTCGTTTTACTCTATAAATTACTGATAACTGTTATTTTATATTAAGCATTTACAGATTAAGGTTTTGAAATGAGCTGAGGCAGGATAACAACTCATTGCTTGTAAAATTGACTGTATAAAAAGAAGAGTACGTTCAGTGCTATTAATGTTATTTTAAACAGTTATGTTACAGTAACTAAGTCCTTCGTTGATATATATGAGAAATATTAGTTATTAAAGATTAAGTGAACAAATAATTGACATTGGACTGATCTCGGGCGTAGAGCACACATGTTAGTGTACAAGCAGTACTGGTGTTTGAGTATGTTAAAGTATGTAAAAGCAATTGTTTTTCGTGTGTGAAGCTCTCTGTGTACTCATCTATTTGTGGTTGCAGGGGTCGAGTCAGTTTCTGGCCCCGCGTCTTCACTGGTCGCTACTAGGTCCACTCTCTCTTTATAGTATCTCTTCTTAAAGCTGTGTATGGATCCTGCCTCTACTACATCATTCTCAAGATTGTTCCACTTACTGACCACTCTATGACTGAAGAAATACTACCTAACATCCCTGTGACTCATCTGATTCTTCAACTTCCAGTTGTGACTCCTTGTTGTTGTGCCCCATCCCTAAAATATCCTGTCCCTATTCACCGTGTCAATTCCCCTCAGTATTTTATATGTCGTTATCATGTCCCCCCTATCCCTCCTGTTCTCCAGTGCCATCTGGTTGATTTCCCTTAACCTCTCCTCGTAGGACATACCCCTTAGCTCTGGGACCAGTCTTGTTGCAAACCTTTGCACTTTCACTAATTTCTTAACGTGCTTGAGCAGGAATGGGTTCCATACTGGTGCTGCATACTCCAATATAGGCCTGGCGTACACGGTGTACAGATTCTTGAACGATACACACAGAAATCACCCACAATAAGAAATTTTGCCCTCTCCATGTGGGTCCTTTTGGCCACCTCAGCTACTGTATCAACCATTGTTCTGTTGCTCTCATATTCTTGTCTTGAGCTGCTGCTATTCTGTGGTGGGTTGTACATCACTGCAATCACATTGGGACCCCCAGTTCGTTGCATCCCTTCTGCCAATTCCTTCCAGCTCCTCAAAGCTCCACTGGTTTTTGATGAGCAGTGCAACTCCTCAGACAAATCTATTCCCAGTATCTTTCCTCACGATCTGATATCCAGTTCGAAAGCTTGCGTGTGTGTGTGTGTGTGTGTGTGTGTGTGTGTGTGTGTGTGTGTGTGTGTGTGTGTGTGTGTGTGTGTGTGTGCAGGCGCGTGCGTGTTTCCTAAGCGACCTATGTATACAATGGACAGACTATGTTGCTTTAGCAAACTACAGAAATGTCTTACAAGTAGCTGTTGGAATTCACCTTCAGCTAAGACAAGGTTGATGAGTATGACACATATGCAGCAGTTGGGTATTTGTATTATTGAAAAGTTTCACCTTCACGGTAGACTTCTTCAGTCAAATACAGAGAATTGATGCACTAGCAGTGACGAGTTAAAGATTATGTAATCAGTCCATCAACCCTGTAAGGTTGATGAACTGATTTTGTCACCTTTACCTCGTCGCCTCTATGGCAAGATATACTTCTCATTTTGCATGGAGTATAAATTTAGAAGAAATTAGCTAAAACGCAGTTCACATACAGGTTAGCAATTAGTAATTTCATTAAGTACTTATTTCTGTGTTTTTTAAAATCATAACCAATGGAGGAGAGACGTGCATAAAACTTAAAGAACATATTTCCACACCGGGGAGAGGGTAATAAGGTCCCTTCTTGCAGAACTTACGTAGTTGCTATACAACTTCCTGACAAAATTTTGCCCCTTCCATTCACCTCGCAAAATGCCAAAATGCATTTTAAAAATGTTTACGAGCCATGTTTATTCCTTCTTGATGTCTCTTTTTATGCCTTAGTTGATTTCGACTTTCCACTTTTATTGCTCTAACAAGCATATAAACTTGTCAAAATCATGTGCCAAAAAATTAAACACTGAGTGAATGTTGCATTTTGTCGGTAGATGACGGCACTACGAAATATATTAGGGCAGCAGAAGAAAACACCAGAACATATTACAGTGGTAAGAAACAATGGGATTCCTTACAGGAAGAGTGGGACACACTGGGACATCTTACAAGGAGAATCGAGCATTAGAAAATCTCACAGTAAGAATATATTTTTTTGTATAATTCACGTTAGGTGCTAAACCCATGTGAGTCATTCTGTGCAAGACGTAGTGCAGGCTTAATCCTCCGACTGCTGAGTACCAGACAGATACGTTTACTATTTGTACTTACCTCGCCCTTTCACAGTGAAGATGAATTCCAGGGCCATCTTATTGTGACAAATGGAAACACTGGGATGTCTTACTTGGAAGGAGATATTGGGACGTCTTACTTGGAAGGAGACATTGGGACGTCTTACTTACAAGAAGACATCAGAACACTTTACGATGGCAGAATGCGACTCTGAAGCATTATACCAGAGAGAATCTGATATTTGGATATCATCAAACAGAAAGATATAACGTGACATTTTACAACGGAAGATGGAGTTCATAATAGGAATTCATGCTATGGAATAAGTAACAGCGAACAATTTGACAACAGACAACAATTGAGGAATCTCACATCTGACGGCGAGTCTGAAGGAGATGGTGAGTGGCATTGTGCTCGCGGGGTTGGTAACTTCACAAGTGACTTTAGCGCCGTTGTCCACAGGAGTGACCTCCACCGTGGACGTAGCCCTCGTGACGTTGTGGCCTTGGCTCATCTGAGAAGGAATAGCAGCGTTCTCCTTGTAGATTCTGTAGGGGTGGAAGGACAAACCAGCGAATTATACACATTAGGGACATAAGAATAGACGAGCACTGAGGCAGGCCTGCTGACCGATGCTGGGAAGGTCCTGGGAATCATGAAACCCTTGCGGATTATTCACCTCAATGAACAATGGACGCTCGTTGCTCCATCATGTGAATCACATGCCAGACAGATTGATCCTGCAGCCAGGCTTACATGCGCATTATTTACGGAGTACTGAACCAGACAGGACGTATTTCTCAAGCGTAGCTGACGGAGGAACTAGCCTTCACTACACATTATGTTGTATGACCCACACGTGTTAAGTAGTTCATATGAATGTAAGTATAATAATAATAATAATAATATTAATAATAATAATAATAATTCTCGGACAAGATTCCAGCTGTTGTCAGCAGGAATGTGCTGGACTGAAATATTTACTTAATGTCATGTGAAACAGTGGCAACAGTCGACAGGTAACTATAAAAAGTTCCAAGAAAGCAGTTGTACAACTATTTATAAAAGTACATCATAAATCGTTCACAAAATAGTAAACCTCTGAAGTAAATCTAGAAAATCGACTACATGGTAAGATATACAGTAAAATCCTCAAGTCCAAAAAATATCCGATTAGCCTCATGAGCACTTGCCGATGTAAGACCGCTAGCATCCACCATATGGTTAAATTTGAGGACGACACCACGAGATTGATTCTATCCATTTTGTGGAGGAGGGATGGGGGTTCGAAATGTTCATAATAAGACAGATAACACTGAGATCCTTTACAGGGAAGACCCTTCGCTTCGGCGTGCATATTCTTCGGTGTGTGGGAGTTAATTTGGTACAAATTTCGTAATAAGTGACTCGGAAACAGTTTCTCGAGTGTCTAAATAATGTTAAGAAAGCGTCTTACTTGCCAATTTCATGTTAAATTCTGATTTACTAGTAAGAAAGCTTTCGCGGTAAAGAATGCATTTTGTCACCAACAAGGCGACATCAAATATTAAGACAATTTCGTTTAAGCCAAATGACACGCTAATAGCTCTCTAGTTTTTTAATTCTCACTTTTCTTGAGAATTAGAGTAGCATGTACTAGTTGGGTCATAATAATATTAATATTAAATAATACACTCCACTCAAATAACTGGAACGTAATTCATAAACATCGATACCTTAGGACCGACTTGTGATGTCACGACAATTATTTGCTGATTCCACCAATCAGCGGCTCTTGACGACTCCATACTGTTACCACATGACAAAACAAAGGTCCAGGGTATGTCCTGGTATATTCAGTACCTGTTATTAGCATAAGAGTTGAAATCAAGGTCTAGAGAGCTTGCAATAATGACTAGTTTTATGACTCACTCACTATGGATTCAAACGCCACCTGTTCCGTGGTTTGCAATAGTGATATTTTTTTATGTATATAGATATATTTGGGTGTCTAGAAAATGGACTCGATTTCTACCACTTACAGCCGCTTATACGTTTCCACTTTATGTGAAAATAACTCTTTTTAAATCTGAGCCAGATCGTTTAATATTTAGGGATGGTACTGGAGGCTTGATTATTATTATTATTATAAACACGGGGAAGCGCTAAACCCGTAGGATTATACAGCGCACATGAGGGGGGGAATGAAAGGTACTCGCTCAATTCAAGGAACCGGAACACAGATCCAATTCCCTAGATCAAAAGCCCCTCACCAGCGTTAAGGAATCTCCCTTGAGGGGAATCAACTTATGAGTGTCCGGTATTTGGGTATCTGCCTCAATTGCTTGGAATCGATTGAGATTGAGATTTTATGCTCATTGCTTTAGCAAAGGAATTACCGTTTTTTTTATGTTGTTCAATCTTCTTTCGTAGGAATGTTCGAAAAAATGTCAGAAGTAAGGATAATTTTTTATTTGCAATGCGTTAATCAGATCATGTTTATTATTTTGTTTAAGATGATATTTTCATGTTAAGTAACCATAGCGTCTAGGATCTTAAATCTCAGGGTATGGAATAAAATCGCGGATTTTATCTCGCTTACGAGCCTGAAGAGAGGATTCTCTAGTCGAATCTGCGCTCTTCTTGCCATGTGCTTATTTTTTTTTTCACCATGTTGATCTAGAGGAGCCGAAGACAAGTGCTGAAGCGCTTATGTTCAACTCCTTGATGGTTTTGGGCAATAGCCAGAATTCCAACCAGAGGGAAGTACCATAAAGGAAAGACCATGAGTGAAAAACCATGAAGGAAGAACCATGAAGGAAGGACCTTGAAGAAAGGACCATGGAGGAAGGACCATGAAGGATGGATCATGAAGGAAGGATTATGAAGGAAGGACCGTTAAGGATCATGAAGGAATGATCATGAAGGAAAGACCATGAAGGAAGAACCATGAAAGGAAGACCATGAAGAAAGGACCATTAAGGAAGGACCATGCAATCGAGAATATCGTCACAATGACCGGAAAGTTTTGAAAAAAACAACAAGAACAGCCATGCGCAGAGAAAGGAGTCATTCAGGAACAAGCTTACGAGTCTGTTTAACGTGGTCCATGCGAGTGCTCTGTCCATCATGGAGAAAGAAAAGGACTTCCTGCTGGCTCAGGGGAAAGCGGGAGGGCGAGGTACCATGGGATCCGTGGATAAGAATAACAGAAAGGAAGGAAGAATCGGTAAAAAATATGGAACTCCAGGAAGAGAACAGAAGGCAGAAGATCATTGGAAACGAACCTTCAGGTGATGGAAATGGATAATGATTGGGATCTTCAGCGCTTGCTATAAACCCACTTCAGGCCCTGATATTCCATTGTTCAAAAGGTTCAAGGTAAAATGGAATTAATGAAGAGGTCGACTTTGCTACATGTCTCGAAAATAAAGATAACCTGCAGGTCGTCGACAAAGATGACAGAGAAGTGCGTCAGTTTGCTCACGAGGTTCTGGAATCAGAAAAATAGAGAAGACTGTGGAGAATTCATTGAGTTGTCTATCCTCTAATTTTGAGAAAAACTTCTCAGGTACAGTTTCAAGCGTCCAGGAGGAATGCATTAAGCACAGTGGATGGCGAAAGCCTTGCACTGCCGGAACATCTGGATGCTTCTGATGCACCTGAGAAAACTTGCCTAAAAGATGTGAGCGTGTTTGCAGTAAACATTTACCTGACAGCCTGGAATACAACTCCGATTTCAGTAGCAGCGCCTTTCAACGATCTGCAGCTCCTACAAAAAACTTCGTCAGTACCACAGTGAAAGTGTTAAAGCTACGTTGTCAGAATTCGAAGCCCGCTTGTGGAACTTGTCGGAGCAAATGGTGGACCGTCTCTGTTTGAATTTTCCAGTTCTACTGACACTAAAAAGAACAAATCTAAAGACAATGGAAGAGAGGGAAGGCGATCGCGACTGTCCGAAGCGTAAGTCTTCCACAGGGTCCCCTTTTCAAGGTTGGATTCCTTGGCCGCGACGAACTCCCGCAAGCTTCTCTATGCCATCCTGCGCCCAAAAAATACGTCGATTTGTGACTCAGCTGAGGACTTCCAAAAGGCTCCCCGATAGGTAAGAAATATCAAGGTCGTTAACGACTATGCATAATGCAGGGTTCTTTTCATTCAGGAGTAGAGCGTAACGCACAACAGAATGAAGAGGAACTCCAAAATATATTGTAAGCTGTTGATAACCACCAGAAAAAGACCCACAGGTCCTCCTGAGGTAACTTCAGTATTATCTGAATAGGAACAAATTTTGTTAATTTGATTTTTTCAGGAAGTGGAAATTATATATATATACATATATATATATATATATATATATATATATATATATATATATATATATATATATATATATATATATATATATATATATATACTTTATTATTACTGGGAAGGGCCACCTTTTGCCCTCAGAACAGCCGGAATTCTTTGCGACTTGGATTCAACAAAGTGCTGGAAACATTCCATAGAGATCCTGGTCCTAATTGATAAAATAGTTTCACGCAGTTGCTGCAGATTTTTCTTTTGCACATTTATGCTGCGAGTCTCCCGTTCCACCACATCCCAAAAGCCTACACCAAATTCTGACCCTACCATTTGGATATCGCTGCAGGAATCTCGATTCGTCAGACTAGGAAGCGTTTTTACAATCTTCAACTCTCAAGTTTTCGTTAGTCAGTGGCCACTCTAACCTCAGTTTGATGTTCTTAGCTGAGAGGAGTGGATCTACGTGTGGTATTCTGTTGTTGTAACCCATCCACTTAAAGGTTTGATGTGTTGTGCGTCCAGAGATGCTCTTCATCATACCACTGCTGTAATGCATGGTTATTAAAGCTACTGTCGCCTTTCTGTCAGCTTGAATCTGTCTTGCTATTTTTCTCCTACCTTTCTCTTTAATAATATATTTGTATATGATAAACAGCAACGACCCATGGAGGTACTACCACCCTGCCAAATTTAGTGTGAAACGGAAAATTGTAAATATTTTACACAATGGCAGGAACGCTGTTTTTTGTTTCTATCTCATAAACACGTAATATGATAGGTACATCTTGCTTATTCTACCTACATCTAATTCATAATATACGTACATGTACAGTTGGGGAAGAAAGTTTCTGGACACTCACTGCTGGGCAGATGTGATATCTAACAACTCACCCTTAGTACACAGAGGAGTGAAGACTATTTTCATAAAAGAATTAAAGGAGCTTGTAACGACGATGGTATTTGATTTACAGATTTAATTGCCTTTACTTTCTGTACATCTATACAAAAGCAGATTTGTGAATGCAGACACAAAATAATTACAGTTCGGCTATTACATCAAAAATCGTAAAACCATAAAAAATCATTTGAAAAGGTGACTGAATATATTGTTCGAAAAGTCTCTTGTTGACAGGTCAGTAATCGTCATATATCATCCATATTTCCTCACGTGAAGCATAATTTCGATGGACGGGTTGGGTTTATATGTGAGGCTCAGTTTATATAACAATCTTTTACAGAACATTGATAATTTGAATATATTTCAAAAATACTATACAAGCCAAAGTGTGCTCTAAAATAAACTGTGTTGTAGATACTTTTCATGCTGCTACTTAACAAGACTCAATTTTATAAGACCAGGTAGTGGGGGAATATTATAATAGGATGTGGTGAGGGAATATTATATGAGCAGGTAAGGGGATTTTATGACTGGGTGATGGGGGAATATTATAAGACCAGGTGGTGAGGGAATATTATGACACCAGGTTGCGGGAATATTATAATAAAAGGTGATTAGAATATTTTATAATACCAAATTGTGAAGGAATATCAGTTGGTGAGGGAATAAACCACGGGTGGGGTACGGTGGGGTTCGAAATCACGGCAAGTGAGTTGTAAAATTTCAGGCCATTGCGTAAACCACTGGGCCAGCTGGTCACAGTGGAGCCCATGTTAACCTCCCGATGGTGTATAAACATACCTAGTTGGATGGCTATTTTTGTAGCCAGCTGGTCCACTGGCTTACGTGCTGGCCTGGAGTTTTACAACTCACTTGCCGTGAGTTCGATCCCAACCCGTACTGTGTTTTGTTTGCAATCGTGTCATTACGATTTCGTGAAAGAATGTTGTGTCCAGCTAGTGAGGATTGTTTTTTTACTTGGATCTTGTGGTGAGGAAATGTTGTATGTCCAGCTAGTGAGGAAAAATTTATAAGTGTCTTGTGGTGAGAGTATATGTCCAAGTTCGGACCTGTAATGACAAACTGTGACTACAGAGGACGTATGAAAGTAACACAGCATCAAGGAACACAGAGGGCGTAAGAAAGTAACATAACATTAAGGAACACCAACCTGATGGTGGGAGGTGGCTGCCCTCCACGGCTACTGCAGGTGAGCTCAACCATGGTTCCCGCTACCACTTCCTCCTGCGGGCTGCCTTCGAAGACTGGCGGCCCTGCTGGCTCTGTGGGTACCAAACACACTCTGTCATGCACACCTGGTTTGTGATTCAAGGTTCATCACTTTTTTTTCTCCTGCATTGTCAGTCTGTCGACTGAGGTAAACAAAAAAAAGATAAATACTTGTTTTTTTAACTTCGCGCTTGTTCTGAGTCGTTCTGCTCACTTAGTATATTTGATAAATATGTAAGTAAAATGAAAATAAAGTAAGGAATGCTATAGTCAACACTCACTTTCTGGTCAATGAAATTGCACCGATTCTAGGGAAAATTTGAGGTGATGATTCGAAATATGGCATCTGGTTTGCTTGATTGGCTTTGGTTTATATAAATTTGGTATGTTCCTAAAAAAAATTAAGGATGTGAAAAATATATTGATAAAGCGGGGCTAACTTAAAAATCATATTTAAATTATTTTTTAGATGATCCAAAAGTCAAATCTTGTAATACATGCTATCTTACGTAGTAAGATAATGGAAGGTATTCAGGCTTAATTCGGGGAACTGGAGCACAGATCCAATTCCCTAGATCAAGAGCCCCTCACCAGCATCAAGGAACCGTCCTTGAGGGGAAGGAAGGCTGAGCACTCACTAGTAATGGTCATGGTGATGGTTTTGGACACCCGTTGCTCGATGGAAGGGTTGATGGCGCGACACTCCACCTTGAGCTCGCTGCTTGCTGCAGCTACCTGGTTGTCCTGGGCTGACTTGCTGACGACGTAAGTCAGCTCGGAGGAGGTAGCCCACCCACCCGTGCTCACTCGGCTCATGATCTCACGCGAAGAGCTCATTTCCTCCCCTGGGAAAGCAACAGTAGTCGTCTAAATGAGTCATTTCTCCAGTAGGGCATATGGAAAATAGGAAGATTAGGAGACTAGGGAGAGAAGGAATGAAAGGAGGATGAAGTACATGGAAGAAGAGGACAGCAGAATATCTTATTGTCTATACTGAAGTGGACTGGAGGTAGTATCGATACCAAGGAAATCTAGTGTCATAAATTATTGTTAACAAAGGTACACAGCAGACACCAGTGTCACATTAGGTTGGCCTATGTATCACACAACTGTACCACCTTGAAAAACCATGAAATAATTCCACCTTAGGAGAAGCAAATATTGTCTATACATGTATATTATTTAATGTTATAATATCAAATGTTACTCTTTCGTTAGTAGCTAATGAAAGAAATATTTGGCTTATATTATTATTTAATATATTTAGCACCATATATATATATATATATATATATATATATATATATATATATATATATATATATATATATATATATATATATATATATATATATATATATATATATATACGTTGATTATGAATTATGTTAACCCTAGACATCGTTGTTTGGTTCCAAACAAGGTATTATGCCTTTTTATTCATGTAATAGCTGTTATTTGTCTTCCCATTTATATATTTATTAAAGCCGTGCCTAATAATAGTTTTACTGATGTAAGTGGACCTGCTTCCATGAAATGGACAGGAACTAGCAAATTTGTTACAACTCAGAAACAGGATACATGCTGGAAAGCTTTCAAAAGGCAGACCTTCAAGTATTCTCTGGTAGATTAGTATATCGTGCAAAAATGCACTGTTGTTGGTGCCTGCGTCATACCTCAATGCTACCTTGGAGAAGCTTACGTATCAGGAAACAGAACCAACCTCGGAAAACTTATGTATTATTTACAGTGCTACTTTGGGGAAGCCAGAATATCATGTAAAATCTGTGAGACAACCGAGGAATATAACCTGAGCTGAACTCTGCATCACACAAAAGTTAATATTTTTTTTTAAGCAAGTGTAAAGCTAGATTTAAAAGAAATATAATAAGGCTTTAGTGGGGTGTGGATGTATATTTTGAGATTCTTTGTGAAGTGTGGAAATGTTGATGCTGGGGGAAGGGGGGGTTAGAATTAAAGGAATAGGCTAGGGGTAAATGTGGGTGAGAGGATTTTTTTTCCTTTCTGTAAAATAAATTTTGATACATCGGAAATATGATGCAACCCAACTCGATATGATGCATACATTATGAAAAAAATCTAGCCATGTTTCAATATTTTATTGTATGATTCAGGATGGATTTGATTCACAAGGTAAAGAGAATCTGTCATCATGAGCTAGAGACAGAAGGGGCAGGTAAGTTATGGTCTGGGGGCCAGGCTGAAGAACGTGATTGTTTCTTGTCTTAGTGTCTATTCCTCAAATATTTTTGCAGTATCTGCTGCTATGATCTCTTGGACTCGGGCCTCCAAAATTTTAGAGACTCCATTCAATCTGTGCATCTTTCTCTTCTACGGCTGTGGTCTCCAGTCCTTATCCTCACCTACTCTTTTACACTACTCTTTTTCGTGGTCTACCATTTACCTGCTTTTAAACCTCAGGCGCTATGTATAAAAATTTAATTGTACCTTTTTTGTTTCCCTGAGGTACGGTTTCCTGGTCAATATTATTCTCTACTCTCTCTCTCTCTCTCTCTCTCTCTCTCTCTCTCTCTCTCTCTCTCTCTCTCTCTCTCTCTACATTTTTATACAGCCTAAAATGGTTTTTCTTATCTTTACATTTCCATTATCTATAGTATTCTTTTGTTTCTTGCTTTTCACAGTTATATATATAATCTGTAGTCATTTTTGTGAATATGTATGTGTGTGCGTGCGTGTGTGTGTGTAAATGTGTGTGTGTGTGTGTGTGGGTGTGTGTGTGTGTGTGTTTAGACTCAAGTATATGTACTTATTTTTGGCCTCTACTCTCCGCTGGTTCCCATTAAATACGTTCTTCATCACTTGAAGAGTCCTACCATACCTATTCTTAAAGCTATGTATGAATCCCGCGTCTGTAACGTTCTTGTGCAGGTAGTTCCGTTCCTGACCACTCTGGGACTGAAAAAGTATTTCCTGACATTTCTGTGATTCTTCTGTGTATATATATGCGTGCATGCGTGTATATATTTTTGTTTACCTACTTAGCTGTATTCATATAGTTTGGTTTAAGGGTCGATTCGTCGCTCGTGGCCCTTCCTAAGAGGAAACACCTCGTCTCTGTGGCCCGATTATATCCACTCTGTGTATAGTGTTTTCCTCTCCCACCACTGACCACGCTACAACTAACAAAGTACTTCCTGACGTCCCTATAACTATTCTGTTTCTTTAGCTGCTGTCTGTGCTCCTTGCTATCTCTTCGCGCATCTCAAATAACCCGTTTCTCGCCATTTCATCTAATTCTCTAAATATTTTGATCAAGATCATGTTCTCGCTGGTTCTTCTCTTTTCTACTGTTGTTAGGGTGAGTGCATCAAGTCTCTTTTCAATCTGTTATCCTCGTTTATAGCACCAATTTCGTAGAACTTTTTTTTTCTAATTTCTGTATGTTCCATCAGGTTATAGTTTTATGCTTGTGCAGTATACTTATCGATGGATAAAACGTACATTGTGTTATTTGTCCTAAATGAAACCTCGTTCAGGTTCCTAAAAGCAGTTCTTAGGTTACCTAGTCTTGCATATTGCTGCTTATGTTAAGTAATTCTCATGTACTACTAGTGATATGCTTGGTGCATTGCTTACAAGCAGTTCTCTCTCCTTGCACGTTGTCTACAGCTTCTCTCCTCTCAAGTTGCTGCTTCTATATTCATTATTTTTTTACATATATGGACTGAATTCAAGTAATAACCTTCAATCCGTCTTTAGTCTTTCCCTGCCATCTTGGATTGTAATCATTCATATTATGCTCACAAACATAACAGGAATGTATATGATTCAATTTCCTCTGACAGGCCATTTAACCTGTATGAAAAGCTGCTGGGGTCCAAGCTCTGGTTCTTGGGGAACTCCGCTCATCATCAGTGCCCATTCTGGTACTTTTCTTACCATTACTTTCTGCCTTCTATTCACCAAGTATTTCTGTAGCAACTTGAGTTCATACCCTGCTACCCCAGGCTGCTCTAAGCTTGTAAGCGTCTCGTGTGTGCTGTGTCAAATGCTCTGTTTCCATCACTTTGTCATATACCTCTAGGAAATTCGTGAGACTCATAAATGTGTGCTTGGGTGGGTGGTTAAAGGAACAAGCCATCACTTACCATTAACCAGCCAAGTGAGAGAGGCAGGAGGATTCGATTCACTGGTCTCACAGGTAAGAGAAACAACTGCACCTTCCTGCACCTGGGATGGCCCCGAAACACTGACTGAGGAAGGGGCATCTGTAAAAAAAAAGATTAAAGTGCTCTGAAAACGTAGAATTTCGAGTGTTTTATATGAAAAATGAGATTAGGGAGATAATCATTTTCTATAAGTTTTAAGAAATGTTAGTTTATTGTAAATCAATGGAGATTTATGAATTCTTTTTAAGTTAAAGATTTCCGTTGATAAATTAGACACATGTGCAACTCTTGGGTATCTTTATTGAGGAAACGTTTCGCCACACAGTGGCTTCATCAGTCCATACATAGGAGAAACTTGAAGAACAGGAGAAGAATGAGATAATCAGTCCCTCAACCTGTCTCCTCCTGTTCTTCAAGTTTCTCCTATGTATGGACTGATGAAGCCACTGTGTGGCGAAACGTTTCCTCAATAAAGATACCCAAGAGTTGCACATGTGTCTAATTTATCAACATGTCGGTTCTCTGAACCATTCATCTACAAAGATTTCCGTATTCTATTAATATATGGATATCAATGTGCTTGACGAAGGAGAAAAGAGCTTTATTTATCCCCAGGGAATTTTGAGTGTTCTGAAAATCTACGAAGGTTAGCACATTACATAGGTTAAGGGAGAGCCTGTGTGTTCTACTAGTCTTCCCGAAAATGTACGTTAATTCTGCAAGTCACAGAGCATCAATTGCTTTTATAAGTGAGGCGTGTATTAATCTCCGACTGTGAGCCTGTAGTGTTTTGATGATCAATTGTCGTGAGTCTGTAGTGTTGTTTCGATCTCTGATTGTTAGTCTGCAATGTTTATGTTGATTACTTAAAGACTGTGTGTCAGTAGTGTGCTGTGTTGATTATGACATGAATTTATGTATGTCTGTAGGTGTATTGTGTTAGTATCTGAAAGTAAGTTTGTACACTGTGTTGATCTCTGACCACAAGTGAACACTGTGTTAATGTCTGACTATAAGTTTACACTGTTGATCTCTGTAAGAGTATAATGTGTTAATCTATGTTACTGTACATTGCGTTAAAAGTGCACGCTGGCTTGATCTCTGATTGTAAATGTATACTATTGAACTCTTAAAGTCCACATGCTCTGTGTTTATCCTGATTGTAAGAGTACACTATGTTGATTTATAATTATGAGTGTACATTCGCTATATTGATCTATGATGGTAAGTGCACACTGTGTTGATCTCCGATTATGAGTTTCAGGTATGTTGTGCTTCCTTATTGCTGCAAAAATAGTTGGGTTTATCATGCCAGGACGGTGGAAGTAAATGGCATAAAATACCGACACAATGGAAAAATAAACACATAAGCAGTATGTGTGATCATGTATTGACAACGATCTGTTTGTGACTTGATAAAGCCACTGTGTGGGCGAAACATTGTCAATAAAGGATCACATTATACTGTACATGTCTTTACTTTTCCAATGTGAGGGTGGGTTGGGTTGCCACGTTAAGACGAATTGAGATGTCACGTGAGGATGGGTTGGGTTGCCACGAGAGAGGAGGTTGGGCAGTCAAGTGAGGATGGGATGGGTTGTAGCACACACACACACACACACACACACACACACACACACACACACACACACACACACACACACACACACACTCACACACACACACGCTCACAAACACACACACACACACACACACACACACACACACACACACACACACACACACACACACACACGAAGCACGCTGGAGCAGTCACACAGAGTACAGAACTTGGAACTTCTATAGGAAGCAGACCAGTTCAGAGACGCACGAGAAATAAACTAACCAGATATGAATACACAATAATACTGAGAGAGGATGAAAGCAACTCTGAAAAGAAAATGTAAGGCAAGAGCATGTTTTATTTTAGTAAATCAATTTTAAAGAAAATTTCAACGAATTAATTATAACATAATCACTAAAGAGAATGAAGAAATAAATGCGTGAGATATTAAATAAAAAAATTCAGCCTAATCCAACTAAATATACGTTATATAAGTTTACAATATATTAATGATAAACAAACACAATGATTTTTTTTTTCGTTAGGGTCAGAATGATTTTTGCGAAATTACTGCATTCTGCAATTTTCGTTTGCCCTAGTCGGCAAGAAGTGCGTTGCTATTTAAGCCAAAATCGCAAGTTTTACATATTCGGCACGACATATATATATATATATATATATATATATATATATATATATATATATATATATATATATATATATATATAATTGATTTAAAACCCAAACAGATACTGGAATTTGAGGATGCTTCCATTACTAAATATGTATTAAGAAAATTATTGCTGGATAGTGACTAAAAGCATTGGGACCAGATGAGATCATACAATGGGTCTTAAAAGAATGTACAGGTGGACTGAACTATTAACAGTGAAATACATTTTTTAAGATTTCATTTCCAGAAAGGACAGTGAGAGAGAAATGGAAAATGTCTCATATTGTGCCAATGTTAAAAAAAAAAAGTGACGAAAAAATACATTTAAATTATAAGTCATTTTCCTTGACAAGTGTTGTGAAAATATTGGAAAATGAGATTAGATAAAAGTGGATAAATACTTGAAGAGGACTAACCTACCGACTAGTTATCAATTCAGTTTTCAGTTGGAAGCTTATGCATGTCTTTGTATTAGCTGTGATGACCGTCACAGAGTGTTCAAGAAAAAACAGCTCTCAGAAATATAGATGGTGACATGCTAAAACAGCTGTTTTACGCCCAAAATTGGAATAAACAACGGTCGTGAGGTTTTCTCCATGAAAACAAATAACGTGGATTAATTAGAAAAGGTGTTTAGAAGAGATAAAAAGTCATATCAAGGTTACAAAAATTTGAGATATAATGTAAACTGAAAGCGCTAAAATGTTCACGCTGAATGATACGAGAAAAATAGGAGACATGATGATCACATAGAAGGTCATAAAAGGACTTGAAATAATAATTAAAGAGACTTCAAGACGTCACATTTGCAAATTGAAAAAAAATTAAGACTAAGCGATACTGGATTTTGTTACTTTGCTAAACAGACTATTCATTTGATCTATGATATCCGTGTATTTCCTGAAATACTGGTGTTGCTCAAATGATGGTGACTCTTTTTTCTTTACGTCACCCTGCCCCTTGGTGAGGCACAGCTGATGTTACTAAAAAGGATCCAGATGTGTTGACCACTGACTGGATCATCAGGATGAATGAAAACTTGAGGGAACGTATTATGGTTGACCAATGGAACGATTGTGCTGACGAAGTGGCAAGTGCTACGACCAATGAATATTTGATGAAGTTTGATGATTAATAAATAACTGAAAATAGGACAGAATAAACATGACACACACACACACACACACACACACACACACACACACACACACACACACACACACACACACACGCACACACACACACACACACACACACACACACACACACCTGCTAGCTACTTCGTTATTTCCGTGATCGCTCAATACCAACAGCACATAGTGAGAACATTGCCTCTCTTCCTTCTCCCTCTCTCCTTCTCTCCATCTTTTCCCGCCCTTCCTTCGTCTTGCTTGTTTCCTCATGAAGTAATGAAAATACCTTCGGATTTTCTCCGTCTCTTCCATCTTTCTTCTCTGTCTTCTTGTTCTCTTTTATTCTTTCGTCCCATCTATTCCTCACCTTCTTCCTTTTCATTGCAATGTCTTCCCATGTTTCCTACCTTTATCCTCGCTTCTTATCAGCCCTGTCTTGTTATCCATTCCCTTCGTCGTAATTTCTTTCCCCTTACTATTTTCCTTATTTTCCCTTCTATTCCGCTTCTTTTCCTTTCTCACTGTTTCATTCCCTTCCTCACTGCTTCCTCTCCTCTCTTATTGTTTCCATCCGTTTCTCCCCCCTGCTTCTTTCTATCGCTTCCTCCCTCCTTTATTCTCAATTATCGTCCCTCCTCTCATTACTTCCTCTTCTCCCTCTCTCTCTCCATTAACCATCCCGTGTTGTCTCCCTCCTACAAACCATTTTTCCCCTCTTTGTTCTTTCATTTTCTCTCCCTCCTGCTTTTTTCTGCTCCTTACATTCTTTCCCAGCGACAACAGTTGCAACAGAAACAGGACAACAGTGCTATCATGTCCTACTATTCTGCAACAGCATACAAACAGTAACAATCATGATGGCGCAGTGAAAATTCAACATGAAGATATTTTTCAAAAGCTGTGACCCTAAACACAGTGAAAAAAAAAAAAGTTCTATCGAAGAGGGGAAAATATAATAAAGAATTCGGTAATATTTCCAGTCAGTGAAGAAGGTTTTCACCAAAACGTATTTTATTATTATTATTATTATTATTATTATTATTATTATTATGATTATTATGTTTATTATAATTATTATCACTATTATTACTATTATTATTTTTTAGATATTATTATTATTATTATTATTATTATTATTATTATTATTATTATTGTTTATTATAATTATTATCACTATTATTACTATTATTATTTTTTAGATATTATTATTATTTTTATTATTATTACTATTATTATTATTATTATTATTATTATTATTATTATTATTATTATTATTAAATAACCCACACGTAGACATGAATATTAATAACACCACTCATCCCTTAGATATCAAACATATATTTCAACAATCTAAAATGGTTCGTAATTGTCGCTATTGCTTCCTGTGTCTGCTCCATTTCCTGCTCCTCCTGTCCTCTTCAAACAGAAATGGAAGAAATACACATACGTGTCTTTCTGATAGTATTAAAGAACTCAAAAGAAATGTTCGTTTTGCTGGTGCTATCAACGCTCTTGTGTGCCGTGGATAATATGTGTCGTGCCGAATAGATAAAACTGGTCAATTAGCAAGAACTCACTTAAAATTAAGTCCTTTCTAAATGTATAAATTAGTAACCTTATTATAACTTACCTCATAGATTATATAACTGACTTATTCCAAAGCATTACGTGTGATAATTTTATTTTCAATAATTATATCGCTTCTTCCATTTCGGGACGTCAGTTTGATTACGTAATACTTGACTTCTCGTGTATTTTAATCGAGGAGATTTACCTAAAAGTTTACTTTAATCTTTTTTAAAGGAATTAAGGCATTCTTGAGTGAGTGTCCAGATTACCTGAATCTTTTAATTGTTTTTAATAATATTGGACACATGAGAAGTGTACTGCTACCCGACTCTATATGATGGTAACATAGTGGGAACACCAGAAGTGTACTGCTACCCGACTCTATATGATAGTTACATAGTGGGAACACCAGAAGTGTACTGCTACCCGACTCTATATGATAGTTACATAGTGGGAACACCAGAAGTGTACTGCTACCCGACTCTATATGATAGTTACATAGTGGGAACACAAGAAATGTACTGCTGCCCGACAAAGAGCTTCGTTGCTTTTTTTGTAGAAATGTAAATATTCTTTGAGTAAACCTTTATTAATATTCTCCAGGTCTGATGTCACTCTGCCTTCCATCCTTTATATGTCGTATTCCATCAAACAGGATGGAATTTGTACAACAGGTAATGAAATCTGTCAACCTGAGCTGGAAGACTTAAATTTAATTTTCGTTTATTCTTCTCTGCCTCCCTCCAGTACTCCAGCTTTTCCCAACTCTCTCTTCCTCTCCCTCCTTCTCTTCTTTCTTTCCCGCCATTACTTTATTTTCCATCCGTTAATCTAAAGTCTTCTTTTCCCTTGTCCTCTTTCTCTATCTTCGCCCTCCCCCCTTCTTCCTGAATCCTTTCCTCCCTCCTTCCCTCCTCCAAGAGCCTGATAATACTCACAGTAGACGGTAAGAGAGACATTGGCTAGCAGTGGCTGTTGTAGCAGGTCACTGTTGACGCGACACTCGTAGACAGCACCGTCATCAGCAGCAGTGGCTGTCAGTTGGTGAGTGTTGATGACACCGGTAGCATCTGCAGTGGTGGTGTCATCCAGGAGGAGGCCACGACGGTGCCAGGTGAGCCAGGGACGAGGATTGCCACCTGACACACGACACACAAGCGTTCGTCTCTCCCCGGCCACCAGCACCTCCCCAGTCCTGTAGCCACTGATGCTCGGCCTTCCTGGCTCGTCTGAGGAAGAATGGGTATCATTCTGGGCGGCAGCGTGGGCGGTAGTGTGTCAATGTGGGTGTTACTATGGTGACAGTGTGGGGTGTCAGTGTGAGAGAGTCTGTTGATGTTAGTATGGGTGTCAGTGTGGGTGTCAGTTTAGATGTCAGTATGGGTGACAGTGTATGTGCCAATGTGTAAGCTTCAACGTATGCTTGATTGTAGTGTTTACTACAAGAAAAATATTCAATTAAAATGATTTAAATGCACTTGGATTAAGTTTGCATACGAAATTATTTAATGGAGAGAATGCAATACATAATATATTATGAAAAAGAAATTTTTGCCGATCTATGGAAAATACCGATGAAATTCTGCAAGAAAATGACTTACAGATAATGTAATTTGTTTGGAAAGCTGACGATGATGCTACACAGCTCCACACAAATTTAGAAATTGGGAGAATAAATGATATAGTAAAAGGTGTTAAGGAAGGGCAGGTAATGGAATAAAGGCTGAAACGAAGGAGAAATTGTATATAAATTCAAAGAAGAAAAGTTACGAGAAGACAGCAACTATAGTAATCGGCTTTAAGTTTTCGAGAAACAATAACAAATTTGAAATATAATCTGATTCTTTTTACATGATGGCATATTTCAGGTCACATCATCACATCTGCTATAACCCAATGGTACATTATTTTAAAACATATTCATTTGAAAGAGTTTAACCAGCTAGGATAATATAGAATTTGGGGAATGAAAGGAGATTAAGGTTGATACACACAAAAAAGGAAAGTAGTTCCAATTCCTTGAGTCAAGAGCCCATAACTAGCATTTAAGCACCTCCAGAGGGATAATACATGTCATTCACACCATTACCTTCACTTAACAAATCTTTTATGTTCATATTAGGCTTCATCTGTTTCATGAAGCAGAAGAAAATTAAATCGAAAATGTCTGTTACAAGAGGATGCGGCAGAAATAATTTGGATGCATTTTTCCTTCCTGAACTCCCGCATTAGATCAACAAATCCAGCATGCATTGTAACCAATGACAACAATTTAATTGTTGACTTTGCTTCAACGCTCCTAATTTATAATACTGTTTATTTTCTCTGAATTGTCTAATGACATGTATGCACTGAGAACAGTAGTGTATATACAAGGAGAGGCACATGTCTCAGTATATATATTTCTCCAACACGAAACCTCTAGATTTTTCCCTGAAGTACGTTTATTCTCTTCTCCGAGGTTGAAGTGGTACCTTGCAATATTATATATATATATATATATATATATATATATATATATATATATATATATATATATATATATATATATATATATATATATATCTTTCAACGCACCGGCCGTATCCCACCAAGGCAGAGTGGCCCAAAAAGAAAAACGAAAGTTTCTCTTTTGAATTTAGTAATTTATACGGGAGAAGGGGTTACTAGCCCCTTGCTCCCGGTATTTCAGTCGCCTCTTACAACACGCATGGCTTACGAAGGGAGAATTTTGTTCCACTTCCCCATGGAGATAAGAGGAAATAGACATGAACAAGAACTAGAAAGAAAATAGAATACCCAGAGGGGTGTGTATATATATTTGCTTGAACATGTATGTGTAGTGTGACCTAAGTGTAAGTAGAAGTAGCAAGACGTACCTCAAATCTTGCATGTTTATGAGACAGACAAAAGACACCAGCAATCCTACCATCACGTAAAACAATTACAGGTTTTCGTTGTACCCTTACTTGGCAGGGCGGTAGCACCTCCCTGGGCAGTTGCTGATTACCAACTTAGTACCTAGGATATATATATATATATATATATATATATATATATATATATATATATATATATATATATGCAAAACAACCACTCTGAAAGAATAGAGAAATTCCAAGCGCTTTCGTGACTACTCACATTATCAAGGAACTATGAAAGTAAAGCATCCAAGGAAGCTATATAAGGGGTCCGGCCAGCACCTCACTATCAGATCCCACAACGGTTAAACACGTAACGCGCGGCGACCCAACTTGGATAGGTCCCTTGCACAACTCAACCCCAAGCTATTCTACCCAAGAAAATTTAAAAATTATTATTTGTCCAGTGTATTATTAAATTCTTCCCAAATTCTATTAATTATAAATGGATCTAATTTATATAAACCAAAGGAAATATTCATATTATTGTCAAAACTGCTTTTTATGAAACAAGATTCAATTATATTCCTGTCGACCAAGGACTTGCTTGATACTACTTTCTCAACTTTTTGAAAATCAATTGGATGGTTAAAATCTCTTACATGAATAAATAGAGCATTGGAATCTTGTCCAGTTCTAATGCTATATTTATGTTGTTTTAATCTTAGTTCGAGATTTTTACCAGTTTGACCGTAATAAACTTTATCGCAAATTTTACAAGGAATCTTATAGACACATCCATCAGCATTTTGGGGGGAATTCTTTATCAAAAGTTTTTTCACTGTATCAAGATTTTTGAATACAACTTTAATATTAAAAGTCTTAAGAAGAGAAGGCATATCAACCATGTTTTCATGGTAAGGGAGAACCAACATAATTTTAGTTGAATAAGGCTGGTTGTCCCTTTTTGGATTATAAAAAGTGTTTCTAGCAACTTTAAAAGATTTATCAATTACATTTCTTGGGTATTTTAAATCATTACCTATTTCATAAATTTTGGATATTTCCTCATCTATGAACTCAGGACTACAAATTCGTAAAGCTCTCAAAAACATTGATGAGAAAACAGACAGTTTGACTCTATCTTGATGCGAGGAATAATAGTGGACATACGAACAGTTATTTGTAGGTTTTCTGTAAATTTTAAATTTGAATTCATTATTACCCTATGTCCACTATTATTCCTCGCATCAAGATAGAGTCAAACTGTCTGTTTTCTCATCAATGTTTTTGAGAGCTTTACGAATTTGTAGTCCTGAGTTCATAGATGAGGAAATATCCAAAATTTATGAAATAGGTAATGATTTAAAATACCCAAGAAATGTAATTGATAAATCTTTTAAAGTTGCTAGAAACACTTTTTATAATCCAGAAAGGGACAACCAGCCTTATTCAACTAAAAATATGTTGGTTCTCCCTTACCATGAAAACTTGGTTGATATGCCTTCTCTTCTTAAGACTTTTAATATTAAAGTTGTATTCAAAAATCTTGATACAGTGAAAAAACTTTTGATAAAGAATTCCCCCCAAAATGCTGATGGATGTGTCTATAAGATTCCTTGTAAAATTTGCGATAAAGTTTATTACGGTCAAACTGGTAAAAATCTCGAACTAAGATTAAAACAACATAAATATAGCATTAGAACTGGACAAGATTCCAATGCTCTATTTATTCATGTAAGAGATTTTAACCATCCAATTGATTTTCAAAAAGTTGAGAAAGTAGTATCAAGCAAGTCCATGGTCGACAGGAATATAATTGAATCTTGTTTCATAAAAAGCAGTTTTGACAATAATATGAATATTTCCTTTGGTTTACATAAATTAGATCCATTTATAATTAATAGAATTTGGGAAGAATTTAATAATACACTGGACAAATAATAATTTTTAAATTTTCTTGGGTAGAATAGCTTGGGGGTGAGTTGTGCAAGGGACCTATCCAAGTTGGGTCGCCGCGCGTCACGTGTTTAACCGTTGTGGGATGTGATAGTGAGGTGCTGGCCGGACCCCTTATATAGCTTCCTTGGATGCTTTACTTTCATAGTTCCTTGATAATGTGAGTAGTCACGAAAGCGCTTGGAATTTCTCTATTCTTTCAGAGTGGTTGTTTTGCATATTTTGAAATCACCTGTTTACTGTGATCTTATTGCATATATATATATATATATATATATATATATATATATATATATATATATATATATATATATATATATATATATATATATATATATATATATATATATGACCCCTCGTTCCTGCGTTCCATCTCTGAAACATTCAGCCCCTATCCATCTTATCAATTCCTCTCAGTATTTTATATGTCGTTATCATGTCCTCCCTATCCCTCCTTTCCTCCGGTGTCGTCAAGTTGATGTCCCTTAACCTCTCCTCGTAGGATATACCCCTTAGCTCCGGTACTAGTCTTGTTGCAAACGTTCGTACTTTCTCTAATTTCTTGACGTGCTTGACCAGGTGTGGGTTCTAGAATGGTGCTGCATACTCCAATATTAGTCTGACGTACACGGTGTACAGTATTTGAATGACTCCTTACTCAGGTGTCGAAACGCAATTCATAGGTTTGCCAAACGCCCATATGCTGCAGCCGTTATTTGGGTGATGTGCGCCTCACGAGATGTGCTCAGCAAGATATTCACACCTTTTTCTTGAGTGATGTTTGCAGCCTTTGACTCCCTCGCCTGTACTCAGTCTGCGGCCTTCTTTGACCTTCCCCAATCTTCATAACATTGGATTTGCCAAAGTTGTTGGACCAGGCTTATAGCGTTTCCAGGTCCCTTTTGAAGTCCTTCCTGATCCTCATCCGTTTGAATTCTCTGCATTCGTGTATGTGTGTGTGTGTGTGTGTGTGTGTGTGTGTGTGTGTGTGTGTGTGTGTGTGTGCGTGTGTGTGTACTCACCTATTTGTGATTGCAGGGGTCGATTCATAGATCCTGGCCCCGCCTCTTCACTGAATGCTACTATGTCCTCTCTCTCTCTGCTCCATGAGCTTTATCAAACCTCGCCTTAAAACTATGTATAGTTCCCGCCTCCACTACGTCACTTTCTAGGCTATTCCACTGCCTGACAACTCTGTGACTGAAGAATTACTTAATAACATCCCTTTGACTCATTTGAGTCTTCAACTTCCACTTCTATTTGTGTCTGTGTTCCATCTCTGGAACATCCTGTCTTTGTCCACCTTGTCTATTCCGCGCAGTATTTTATATGTTGTTATCATGTCTCCCCTGACCCTCCTGTCCTCCAGTGTCGTCAGGCCAATTTCCCTTAACCTTTCATCGTAGGACAATCCCCTTAGCTCTGGGACTA